CGAGTGGTCATGTATAAAAATAAAAAATAAAATTCAGCAAGTGTCCAACAGTGTCTAGCAGTGGCCGTCGTTGCCCCTGACCCTCTTATATCCTCTCATGTTGTCTCTCAACAACACCTACTCTACAAATTTTTCTTTTATAAGTCAATTGTACACGTCATCCTTTTTTCATATTACGTTCTAATAATAACAATAATACTATTTTACTATTTCTTTAAGCCATATATCATTCTTAATAATACGTTTCTTCTTTTTCTGATTTCTTTTTTTTTTTTTAAATCGCGAATATACCATTTACAATCTTTCTTTATTTTATTTTCATTTTTATTTGTCGAACGCGATAAGTAACAATAATACGCATTAGGAATTAATTTCTAAAATACAAATGATTAATAATAATAATAATCTAATAAAATGACCTAAGTGTCCATTGGTTTTTTTTTTTTTCTTTTTTCATAATCTTTTCATGAAACAATCTTTTGTATAACGTGTTATTAATTTTCAATTATAAACGTGTTGAACATAGAAATAATAATATTCAAATGGAGTTAGGCCAGTTTTGCGATACGATACCAGAAAAAAAAAAAAAAGAAAATGATACAAAAGTCTCTCAATTATTATTACTATTACAAATTAAAACAAAAAAAAAAACAAGAAGAACCTCCTCGAAGTTAGAATAAGTGGTAGGGGGGATTCCTACGAAGAAATTTCGAACTTAATACTAATGTTTTAACTAGAAATAATTTTGCTTTCCCGCATACGACGAGGAGAGAGTACGCTGACACACGCACGCGGGTACTCTCCGGTATTTATTTTTGGCTAAGTTGATTCACTGACAGCTGCTAGTGCCGAAATAGTCTGCTTCGTCGACCTGCTCCTCCCTCTTCCACCCCCCTACCCCCCCCCTAACCCCTCCTATGTTTGTTCGTTCCACGATGATGAGGATGGAGACGATGTTCGAAGATCGAAGACACCACCGAGAGATGACGAACAAAATAAAAGGCCCCCCTTCCTCTCCTCTCCTCTCCTCTCCTCTTCGTACCCCCTCGGTGTAAAATGATTCATCGTACGTTTTTTTTTCTTTTCTTTTTTTTTCTTTTCTATCCAATACACGTTGCTCGCCGAAAATTCTTGATTCTTGGCACGCATTTGATTTTTCCAGGTGGTTGCCGTTTCAAGGTCGTCCTCGTCATCGCGGGGTGAGTGGGTGGGTGGTTGCAGGCAGAAGAATTTCCGATTTTTCTTCTATTCGTATTTTTTTGGCTCGTCGTAATTTCGTTTGTTCGTTCGAAAATATTTACAGCTTTTCTTTTGTAATATATATATATATATATGACTAATATAAATTCGAAATTTCATTAAATTTCTATTGAACTGTGAGAAAATAATTTAACGTTACATTTCGATGATTTTTCTTCTTCTTCTTCTTATTATTATTCTTCTTTTTTTATATATAATATAATAAAAGATATAACGTTGTGTGTTGCACGAAGGTATTCGAAGAGAAGAAAAAAAAAAAGAAAAAAAAAAAAAAGCAGATAATTTCATCGTTCCATTCACGGTACATGGAAATACGTTATATCCGGTTTAATATTCCTAGCATTCTAATGCAAAATTAACGTATTTAACATATACAATAATAAATTACAATTCCGTATACGATATTATAATATATACCGTTAATAAAACATTATCCAAACCACAACGTTTCTTTTCTTTTTCTCGAAAAATATTGATATTATTCATTTTTCTAAACGCATAAAAATATAATAAATCATGATTTTTGATAATATTATTTTGAAATGACTAACATAAGAGTAGGGACTTAGCCAACTGACGAGAAGGGGTAAAAATAATGAGTTTAAAGATACGTTAGAGAGAAAAAGCAGCCACTCGAATATATATATATATATATATATATATACATATATATGTATGTGTGTATGTATATATTCGAGTAGAGGGGACCACCCCGCACATGAATTTACCGAGTATTCGTAGAGTTTCGTACCCGGTGGCCAAATATAGTTAGGTAATGTAATACACGTCACGTGGTCAGAAATAGCCGAAGAAGAGGGCCTAGGAGGGTGTGCACACGGCACTGACGTGTCTGCTTGCTTGCTTGCTTGCTAGTCTCTACTTTTGAAACGATTTGAAAGAGCAGAAACTACAGACGGAAAATATACGTTTTATCTTTAAGGCGAGCTCTTCTTCACGCTCGTTAAAACAGCTGCCCGGGGGGGGTGGTGGGGGGTTGTGGGAGAGGGTGATGGTGGGCTGGGGGGTAGGGAAGTCAAGGGGTCGAGTTGGAAAGCTGATACTCGGAATGTTAAGATTCTCTCGTGTCAAACGAAACGTTCCAATATGGCCGTTCATTTTCACCATAACTAATATCAAATCTTAAAAATTTCATAATTATAATAATAATAATAATAATATATAAGGAAGTATTATAAAAGAAAATTTTTGTTCTAAACACGCGTGAGATTTCTATGCGTGATTTTCCTGCCATTTAGTTTTCTTTTTTCTACTTCTTATTCGCCGGATAAGATAATAAACAGTAATTACTTATTAGAACTGAATTATGTGTTTCTGTTCTATTTCCTTCACCTTCTATATCCATCCCCCGGCCCTCCCCCTCCTTCTTTTTCTATATTTATATTCCATATTACGGTTCGTCTACCACGTCTGCTTTTTTTATTTTCTTTTTTTTCTTTTTTCTCTTCCTCCTCCTTTCCCTCCCACCCCACCCCATTCCTCGAGTCACGTTATATATCGTGCATACGTTAAATGACGTTGAATAAATGAAAAATGAAAAATAAAATTGAAGAAATAGAAGTAGTAGAAGAAGAAGAAGAAGAAGAAAAAGTAGAAGAAACGCACTGTGTTGTCGGCTTTCTTTGATCATTATCATTAATTTACTTTACTTTACTTTACTTTTTTTTTTGTATGTGGTTCTAATTTAAAATGCACTTTTATCGTTCTCATATTATCGCGTATTCATATAATTTCCTTAATTAAATCTATTATATTTGATCTGTAACGGCAACGTTAGCCGACGAATCGATAACAAACCAGACGTTTGAACGTATTTTCAATTCCTTTTTATTAGATATTCTTTGTTTGTTTCCATTGTACAATAAAATAAATAAATCGATCGATGGTTAAATGGTTAGCAGCAACTGTTGGATTAACTTTGACAACGGATTATGTGTGTGTATGTTTGTTGTGTATGTAAATAGAGTGCATAAGAGAGAAGAAACGCTTCAAAAATTACTTCCTTTTTTTTTTTTTGTTATGTTTTATATTATATGTTATGTGTTTTTTTTTTTTCTTTTTTTTTTTCGTTTTTTTTTTTGTCTTGCGTATTATATTTTTTTTCTGTCATCGTCACGCGCGGATTTGTTGCAGTTGAAGGAGGAAGAAGAAGAAGGAGAAGGATCTTGCCCCCCT